AACAAGCAACTTTCTATGATTTGATAAAGCGATAATCTTAATACCTTCCTCGCCATCTCAAACTCTTCAAGCAGATTTACCACCTCCCCGATAAGATACAGCGTGATGCAAGGCCCCCGCCGCCTCCGCGCGTCGTAGCTGTGCTGCTGAGCCCCGCTCCGCACAGAGCAGCCCTTCTGGATTCCGCCCGGTCTTCAGAGAACCTACATCTCCTCGTTAATTTACTTCCAAGCAACAGTAATATATCATTAATGCTATTGTACATTAATAGCTGGCTTTAGTTCTTAAACTGCATCCAAGGGCATGTCCTGGGAATTTGAAGAAAGGACATCAAGAAAAGATTAAGAAGTGAGGAGCTCTAGGGAAAGGTTCTTGTTCCTAATTAAGGACATGAAAATCCCAGGAAGTGGTGGGAATGCTGGGAACAGACATCGCTGGCTCCGATACCGGGAAATGATTAAAATCTACTGGTGCTCAGGAACGGCAGGACCACAGGCAAGCGGCTGTGACACATACGACTGAGCCAGGGCAGGGTCGGGGTCTAAACGGTTGTTAAAGATCATCTGGCACCTCTTGGGGGGGAGAGCAGGGCGAGGAGCTGCAGGAAAGTTTCTGCGTCTTTTGCAGCTGCCTCTGCACGCAAAGCGTGTCCCCAGCAACCGATACAGTCGTGTAAAATGCGATCGGGCTCTGGGATGAGCGCAGTCTCTGCGGGGTTGTGAGTCCTGGGTCGAAGGACCCTCTCCTGCAGAGACCTGCCTAGAGCATCGCATGTAGAGGCTTGTTTCTTTTGTAGTTTAAAGCTGTGTGGTCAAGCGTCCTGATGTAGGACAGGCTTTGAACAGCAGACGAGATTTTGGACAAAGTCCAAGCTCCTACCCGACCTCCTTCACTCACAGAAAGAGGCCCTTGGATTTCCTCTGGCTTGTAACTAGACCCAGCAGAATAGACGGGAGAATTAGCTCCCATGAGAACACATCTTAGAGTGCCCGAACTGCTTAAGGGCTTTTGAAATAGTTATCTATTGAGCTACATCTCTGAATTCAGCTGTGCTTTCATTGTGACTTGTGTATTTGTTTGGTTTTTCCCTTTCCTTGGAGCTACAGGGTGCAATTATGTCCCACGCCAGAACTGGCGGCATGCAGTGCTGCTTGAGTTTGTGTGGAGTTTACAGGGCTCCTTCCAGCTCGCGAAAGGAAGGGCACAGTGCTGAGCGCTGCTTGGGCTCAGACGCCAGAGTTTCAGAGCAGACTGGGGGACAGGGACGCTTGCGGCTGTGCAAGCGTTTATGAACGGCAGGTCTAACGAAACGAGAACTTTCAGTGCTGTGAAAGAAACTTTTACCTGGTTTTACATGAAGGACTAAGGACCGGACTCCGCAGGAGCTGTGTTAGTTCAGATCCTGACTGCCCGCTGGGCCAGACGCACCGGGAGATCCGAGTACTCTGACACATCCAGCTGGTCCATTGCACTCAGCGCAGTTGCTGGTTGCTCGCAGCCTGACCGACCGTGGCTCTCAGCTGGCTCGCGGGCTAAAACATCTAAAAACAAGGGGAATTTTGCCAGAGTATCCAAAGCGCTGGCCTGAACTCGTAGCCCTTCCAGAAATACGCACAATAAATGTTTCTTTTAAATGCTGGTGCGTGGCGCCCGGAGCCCGGTGTGCATCACAGGCTATCAAGTGGGAGACAGAATCCAAACGCAATTTCCACTGAAAAGCTCCCAGAGCCCTTGTTTGGGCAGGGCTGGCAGAGCGGATCGCTGCGGGCTGCGCCGCTGCCTCTGTCCAGTGCGTTCGTAACGATGCCGCCTCCTCTTCTCTTCTCTTTCAGTCCGACATGCAGAGCTGGGAGGAGCAAAGCCAAGGAGCCATCTACACAGTGGAGTACGCCTGCAGGTACGAGAGACTCCTCCAAGCGGGAGGGTTGTGTTTGCAGGCGGAGGTGTTGTGGTAGAAACAAAGCAGAAGCCCTGACGCCTCCCTGGTGTAAGCCAGGGGGAGAGCGTAGTCGGGCCGGGGGTGTGGGGGCGCGAGGCGGTGCTCTCTGAACCGTTGCTGTGAATCTCGGGGGCTTCACTTTGAGCGTGCCAGCTCTTCCCCCAGGTCTGTGCGCGGTGCAGACCTGCCAATCTCCTGCAGTAAATCCACCCACCAGCTAGCTAGTGTGTGAAGATGCAGTGCGCCGTATAGAGTTGAGGTTTCTTACTTACAGTCCCCTCTGTCAGGGGCCGTGTGCTCTAAAACCATGATGCCTTTGGAAATACTAACCGGTCCTCCGTCTCCCTCCGCCCCCCTCTTTTTCTTCTTTCAGTGCCATAAAGAACATGACTGACAGCAGCGTGTACTTCAAGAGCATTGACAGTCTGCTCAAACACGCCATAGCCATGAAGGATCAGCTGAACGCTGCTCAGGGCCGCAGGTAGCAAGGGGCCGTGACGCTGCCTGTCTATCCGAGCGACCGTTCTGGCCGGCAGAGGCGTTGGTGACGTAATGCAGCCTAGTGCAAATATGCCAAGCAGTTAGCTCAGTAATATGATTCTAGACTACGATTTGAAAGAGCATGCTGCTTGCCTTCCAGTGATCTTCTGGCTTTGTTTACTGGGAAGCAAATAATCTTGTTTGCAAAAGGGTAGCTGGAAAATAATTTATTTCCTCATTTAAAAAGGGACGTTTGGTTGTGTAATACGTTACATCTTTGTTGTGTCAAAGGCATTTGGAGTGGGATGATGCTACCGAGATGGAGTAGGTGAGAGGCTGCGCTTGGTGCTGTTCTCTGTCATGTGTGTGGCTCTTCTTGGGCAGAGTCCCACAGAGATAAGTGGTAGCGGAACGATGATGCTTTTTTGTATGTTTGCAGTTGAACGATAGCTACTAAAAGACGTGACTGTCTCTTTCTTTTTACAGCGCTGTTGCCCCACAAGCCAAGAATCCTCCAGCCAGTTCCTGATTTCAGACGAGACTGGCCGTCCTCTGCTGCCTTCTCCAGCCCAGCTCTATGTTCTCCTACCGCGGGGAGGAGTGAGAAACCACCTGCTCAATCTGTGAAGCTGCACGGAGGCCTCTGCCTGCCTCTCTGTTCCCAGTAACAAGGTGCTGTACCTGAGCAGGCAAATCCTGCCGCTGGGGTCAGGACTGCCTTCGTGGGGTGCTTTGGGGAGCAGTTGTGTCCCTTTCCACAGCACCTTGCAAAAGGGAACTGGGGTGGATCTGCATTTGTCCTTTCCAGTTCTTTTCCATGGCAGACTGCTACGAGGCGTCTTTCTCTCTACCTCTTGGCCACAGAAATATCTCGGAAAAACTAGGTCTTGCTTTCAGTATTTTGTAGATGGCTGTGTAAAGATGTAATGTAGGCACACTTCAGCTTTGTTCAGGAGGCATTCTGCAAGGAGAGTTTTTCATGTGTGTGCCAGGGAGTTGCTGGATTTGGTTTTAGTGAGAACAATAATAAAAAGAAAAAACAAGTAAGTTCTGTCTAAAACCTTCCCCTGTTGCTCGCCTCGGGCCAGGGGGGCTTGGAGCCTGCTGGCTCCGTGTGTTTCAAAGGGCATGGAGCAAAACAAAGACATGCAGAGTTGGAGCCTTTCAAGTGAAAAAAGAAACTGTCCTGTTCTTAAAAAAAAAAAACAACAGGAAAGGGACTTTCTTCATCCCCCATCAAGCAGAGCTGTACGCACAGCTTTGGAGGTCGCTTTAGAAAGGACGCAACTTCAGTGTTAATCTCTCCTGGAACAAACAGTTCTGTTCTGCTGAAGAATTCACCAAGGACGCAGGGATCAAAGCAGCGCTAAACTCAGTTTCCAAAGAAATTATATTGTGCTCAGGATAACAGGTGTCTTTCAGGGTAATAGCACGGGAGGTGAGAGGGAATCTGTTTGAATCGGCGGCCTCCCTTCACTCCCTGAAATGCTTTACTGATTGCTGAATGACAAGGAATTAGGGAAGAACCAAGCGTGCTGCTGCTCTGGGCCTGGGCAGGGCTGGCAGAGCGTGGGGCTGCGAGTAACCAGCAAGGTGTTCGTCAGCGCAGGGACGGAGCGAGCTAAACCTGCTGGTGTTTCACAGAAACAGCTGCCGCCTTTAGTACTTGCGCTTCCTGCCCTGCACGCAGCAGAGGACCGGCGGTGCCAATGCAAACCCCTTCCCAGACCTCAGCCTCGACGATCGGCGCTCTTCTCCTGGTGGCACCCAGAGAGGTCCCTCCGCCACCGAGCAAAGCCAGGGCGCTGGGGCTGCCCCAGCACAGCCCCTTTCCCTGCTAAGACCCTGCTTAGCAAGGTGTGTCCTGCTCAGAGGGTGGATGCGCTGGTGACCAAGGAGCCACCGCCACCCCAAACCCACCCTCTGCAGCTTGCAGACTGCTCTGGCTCCGTCTCGCTTGTTGCTCCTCCGTCACCTCCCTTGGTTTCTTACACCCGCCTGGCTGCGTGCCGGGGGGAAGCCCTGCTGGGTCGGTCGTATGAACCGTCTCGGTGTAAGTGCTGGCTCCTGGGGATGGAGGAGGAAGGAAGGAGGCAGAGGAAGGGCAGGGAGGTACAGACGGCCAGAGGAATCAGCTGGGATCTGCTGGAGAAGGAGGGTAAGGTCTGTTCGTGGACAAGGTCCGCTTGCTTCTTACCCACGTGTTCCACTTCCCTCGCTGCAGTTGGGACAGCCGTGGGGGTCCTGCATGGGTCACTGCCAGCCGCTGCCCTGCCAACGCAGTCCTCGTTCGCGGGGGGGCAAGTGCCAGCAGCGTCGCAGGTGGCAGGAGGGGCTGGGGGCTCAGGGCGGGCGGCCGAGGGCTTTTGGCTTTGAGTGGAAGTGGTGTCTTCTCGGTAAAAGAAACAGAGCGCGCCAGGCAGGGGCTGCACAGACCCCCAGGCGGGAGGGTGGAAAAGCAGCCATCCCCCCGCTCTGCTGAGAGATGACCTATACTAAGCTCTAAACAGAGATGCAAATCTTGGCCCTGGTGCCTGCAGCTCCCCTGGGATGAGGTGGGGCGAAGAGGTCCCACTGCGACTCACACCAGAGTCGAGTCCTTGCCCGAGGCTCCAGGTTTGCGTGACAGCATGTTCCTCATCTCCTGGGTGATGCCGTTCCAGGGCTTGCCCTGTACCTGCAGCAGGCCTGACTCCGCCGACAGCGTCCTGTGCGTTCGGGGCAGGTTGTAGCTCTCCTTCTCGGAGCGAAGCCCGGGGCTGCCCGAGGAGGTGAGGTTGCTGCTGGCTGGAGAGCCCAGCTGGGATTTGCGCTCCAGGAAAGGAGGGAAGGAAAACTCCCGGTGGATCTCGGGCCGGGGCCGGGGTGCAGCCACGTTCTTGTTGTTCAGATCGCCGGCGGAGGATTCGCCGTGCTGGGCAGAGTCGTTCTCGTACAGGGTGTGAGAGACCTCGGAGTGGCTGCGGCGTGAAACCTGGGAAGCCCGTACCAGGGCGTGCGTCACCGTGATCAGCAGGACGATGATGCCGGAGGAGAGAATGCAGGCGCTGGCAATGCCGGCCTCCAGTTCAAACAGCAGCAGCATGTAGATGGCAAGAGCTGGAAGGAAAGGAGAGTGCGGAACATCTTGAGGAACCAGGAGGACTAAAGCGACGCAGCTGACCTGCAAACTTCAGGCCCTGTGAGGGCTGGTCACCAAGAACAGAAAGTTTGCACTATGGGAATGAGCTGGCGAAGCCATTTGCAAAACAAACCCTCTGCTGAAGTAGAAACTCAGCAGCTCGCAAGCGCTCGGCAACCAGTGCAGGATGTATGGTCTGGGCTGAAAATGCGCAGTCCCTGCTGGGCTGTGCTGGTGGGAAATGAGCACTTGCCTGTTAGGTAGACTGAGACCCCGCAGCAGAACAAGCCGATGGCAGCGTGGCGAACCGTCCGGCTGTCCAGGAGGAACCAGTCTGCCCTGCCGAACAGGTGAGAAAAATACAGGTCTGTGTAGTCCCCTGGCCCTGGTCTCAGCACAGGAAAAACGCTGATGCTGTGGCCCCTGCTGAGAAACTGAAACACTGGTTTTGCATAGAGAAGAGGTTCAGAGCCAGGTCACAAGCCCAAGGACCTCTGCTGTGGTGGGGTTTCCCCCAGACTCCTGGGTTGCACAGCTCTGGGCTGCGTTGTTCCCACTCTGGAACAGAAGATTTTTGAGATCACTTGAAATTTCAAACTTTTCCCGCCTGGTTCGAGCTGTGCTGCAGAAACCAGATGGGGGCAGGGGCTCAGGAGAGAGAGACAAATGGCTGGAGGCTTTTTGCAGGTGATTTGCCCCTGTTCAGCAAACCCTGAAGAGCAAGCAAGGAACAAAACTGAGGCCTGACAAGCCCATCTCCCCCTTAAAGAAAAGAATGACAAGTAAAGTGCCGGTGCATTGAATTAAGCAAGGCCAGGTTCTCCCTTCACCCTTGGGATTGGATTTCTGTGCTCAGCTCGGATTGCCGGAGCCTTTTGTCTGGAGGGGGCTTGGTACTTGAATTGTGCTTAAAACACATGAAAAGACCAGCTCCTTTCCAGCAGGGCCTTTTGTTTCCCACCCAGCACGGACCCCTGTGCCTGCTGCCTGCTCTTTCCACCGGCACGCTCTCCGCCGAGCCAGCCCGCAGCCCCGGCACTGGCAGCTCTGCTTGGGCGTCTTCGGAGCCCGATTGACCTGGCAAACCTCGGTCCTCGCTGGGCTTTGGAGGCTGCTGTCACCGGAGGATGCCTCTGCTAGTTGGGAGAGCGGGATGCGGTCGTTAGGGGACGCAGCGTAGTGCGGCAGATGGGGAGTCTGCGGGCGGTTGGAAAATTGAGTGGTGGGAAAGATGCGGGCAGGACTGGATGCTCGGAAGCCGCAAACAGTCCCTCGAAACAACTGGGGGTGCACAGGGCATCGCTGTTCCCACTGGCCACCTTCAAAAGTACCCAGGAGCCGGTTGGAAACGTGCCCCGGCTTCGAAGGACCAGCTGAAGGGGCAGCAGCACAACCATCCTCCCGACAGGACCAGCCCTCCTGTTGCTCCCCTGCCAAGCCAGC